GTATTTTTTAGGACCAACAGTATCTATAGTAATGATGTATGGCAGCAGAGCTACTTTTTCCTTCTTTTTTTCTGATGGACAAGTAGGTGGCCTCCTGTCATTTGCTATCACATATGATGGATGCTGCTTGTCCTTGTTCCTGGGACCTCATGGGGTTGAGTGCTTCTGAGAGTAGTTTTAGGAACTGAGTCAGGAACTTGGGGCATTATTCAGGATTTTTGCATTTGTGACCCTAAGTGACTTTGGTCTGCGGCGAGGTCAGCCTGAGCCACACATCATACGTCTACTTTGGGGGCCAGTGAGGACGGCTGCTCTCACACAGGCCACCGAGAGCATGTCCCGGAGAAGGGCCCCGAGTCTTCCCAGAGGCCCCCGGGTGCCTGAGTGCTTGGCCAGGAGCATCAGCACCATCTGAGCTTCCTTCCAGCCTTCAGGTCACGGCCACCCCGTTCTGTGGAACAGATGGGGTGATCCGGTGAGGGTCTGTGAGTGTGCAGGGAGTGGGTGGCAGAGGAGGGAGCCCACCTCCCCGCAGCATCCAGCAGTGCTTTCAGTGTGCTCTTTGGGGTGGGATGGGTCGGTGTCAGAAACGGTGCTTAGTGAAAAAACCGGCAGAGGAGTGAGATTGATAACACGGTGCCCTCAGGTAAGGTGAAAATACATGGACACAAAGCACTAGGTTTCACAGAACATACTCAGATTAAAAGACACTAAATATAATACAGCAGTTTGCTGTGGGGTGGTGGGCCAATGAGGTGGGAACCAAGGAATAAATAAAGCAAAGGACAAATGAGATACGCAAGGTGAACCAGAGAGCTCTGTGGGGAGGTCTGGGCCTGTGCCCCCTGACCTCGGGTCCGTCTGTGGGATGCCATGCTGACGCCTGCCCTGTGGCTTCCAGCCAGGCTTTAGATGTCAGACAGTCAGAGGTGTTGGTCTTTTGACCGCATACTGCAGCCAAGAGTTTATCTAAATGAAATACTTGGTGAAGCCCTAGGTAAGTGGTATTTTCTGATGCCTGGTGGTCTGACCACTTGGCTTGTTTGGTGGTCGCAAGGAGTGAGAGGAGGGCTTGTAAAGCATTAATGAAAAGCTTCCTGTCGAAGACAGTTCACCCGAAGAACATGACAGATCCATTATGAGCGCTCCAAGTTCTGTCCAGGAAACCAAATAGTGTGTTTAGGTTGCGTGTCTCATGAAGACATGCTTCCTGTTGTGTTCTAGGTGGTTTAATTGGTTTTTAGGCTATTTTTCTTTATGATAATTTATCAGAATGGTAGCCTTTTTTCCCAGCATCCTTGCCCAGGGACACCCTTGGCCTGCAAGGGCTCATTTCCTCATTCAGGATTCTGTCTCGGGGATGGCCTCGGAGTCTGCATTCTTCTTAAATTAGAAATATTACTTAAATTTTTTATTTTATTTTTTTAGAGTCTTTATATCTGACTGGCTCCTAGGGAATGCTGATCACAATTTTTAAAAATTGAACTATTTACATACAGTAAAATTCATCTTTTCTGGTATGCAGTTCTGTAAGTTTTTGACAAGTGCTCCTAGTTGTGGCATAACCACCACAATCAGGACATAGGTCGGCTTCACCACCCCCCGAGTTCCCTTGTCCTCCTTCATAGTGGGGCCTCCCCTCACTCCCACCCCTTGGCGACCATTATCTGCCCTCAATTCTGTAATTTTATCTTTTTCAGACATTGCGTGATTCTGTATGTAGACTTTTCCTTAGCAGTATACACATAAGATCCATTGCAATTGTCTTGTCGATAGTTTGTTCCTCTTTACAGCTGAATAGTATTCCACGTTACGTATGCATCATAGTATGTCCGTCCATTTGCAGAGAAGGACATTAGTGCTTCCATGTTCTTCATTATGAATTAACTTTAAGTTAAAAAGCGTTGAAACTTTAGGAGAAATATAATTCTCTTTTTTGTTGTTTTAGGTGACATAACTCAAAAAGGATATGAAAAGAAGAGGGCAAAGCTGCTTGCATGTCACATGCTGCTCACTCAAGGTAAAGTCTGCACACCAAGTTTTTGATAGCAGTTACACTGTCTCATAAAATGACTAAACACTGAGTGTGGAGTTTAACAGTGGTATGTTTCATATTTTATTAAGAAGGACAGGCAAACACTGTGTCTAATAAATGACTAAAATTCTGATGCATGGATTATGATTTACATTCCAGCAGCAACCACACCGGCCTCCCCCTCACCTTTCAGGTACAATTAAGCCCTCTGTTGCTCAGGTAATCACCCATTGATATGGAGATGAACTCCTCCACCCCTGAGGAAAGATGCAAATGCACTAAAGCCATACTTCTTTCCACCTCTCAATGCGTATTAATATGCAGATACACTAAAGCCAGGTGAGATATTCTGGAAATGCTATAATTTTACCCACAAGAAGACACATCTGATAAAGGACTGCTAGCCACAATATACAAAGAACTAAAACTCAGCAGTAAGAAAACAACTTCATTAAAAAATGGGCCAAAGACCTTAACAGACAGCTCACCAGAAAAGACGTCAGATGGAAAATAAGCATATTCATAAGGTGCTCCACATCACATGTCATCAGGGAAATGTGACTTAAAGCAATAAGGAGACACACCACTATTCACCTAGTAGAATACCCAGAATCCAGATCTGACAACCCCAAAAGCTGGCATGGATATGGAGGAACAGGAAGTCTCATCCTTTGTGGGGGCGGCTGGGAGTATGCAAAATGGTACAGCTTTGGAGATAGTTTGGTGGTGGAAACTAATATCCTCTGACCATACGATCCAGCAATCATGCTCTTTGGTATTTATCCAAAGGAGTTGAAATATGTCCACGCAAAACCTGCACAGAAAAGTGTACAGGAGCTTTGTTCATAATTGCCATGACTTAGAAGCAGCCAAGATGGCCTTCAGCAGTTGAATTTGATTAAGTAAACTTGTATATCCAGATCGTGGAATATTACCACTAAAAAGAAATTACTTCTCAAGCCAAGAAAGGACGAGTGGAGGAACCTTAAATGCTAAGTGAAGGAAGTCAGTCTGAAAGGCTACTATATGATTGCAACTATATGACATTCTGAAAAACTGTAGAGACAGGAAAAGATCAAAGATTGCCAGGTGTTAGGGGTAGTGGGGGAGGGACGAACAGGCAGAGCATAGAGGATTTTTACCCTGTCCTGTTTTAATGATGGGTGTATGTCATCATTATACACTTGTACAAACCTGTGGGATATATAGCACCAAGAGTGGACTCTGCATAATTATGATATGTCAATGTAATTCATCAGCTGTAACAAATGTCTTGCTCTGGTGGCCGATGTTGGTCACGGGGGAGGCTCTCTCTGCACTGGAGTAGGGGATACATGGGAACACTCTGTGCCCTGCTTAATTTTGTTGTGAACCATTAACTACTCTTAAAAAACAGTCTTAATTTAAAAAGTAATATAAAGCAAAAGATAGAAGAAGAAAAAAAACCCAAAAGCCGCAACCAACCTTCTGGAACATAAATCTGTAAACCCAGATGGTTTCACTGACAGATTTTATCAAACATTTAAGAAATAGCACCAGTTTTATATAGTATCTCCCATGTATGTTTTAACTTTTTATTTTGAACTAGTTTTAGTGTCATAAGGTATAGGAATGGTATGTAAAATTCATTCATTCTCTCACATCTTATATAACCATAGTACATTATCAAACCAGCTTCCATATATTCTTAATCACAGTTAACATGCTAAAATTTAAAGAGTTCAGACATGTATGAGAGAAAATCTGTCTCACACTCATCCCAAGCTAAATAAATAAATCACTATTAATAGTTTGTTGGACAACCCTCCTGACATTTTCTGCACACGCGGAAATGTACCCACCTACATGCATGTAAATCTGGTTTTATTTAACTGTTTTTATCATAATTAGATCATTCTTTATATACATAGTTTTTCAACCTGTTTTTACTCAATAGGATGTCATGAATCGATGTGATACCCACCCCCCACCGCCCAAATACCAGGGTATTTTTTAGGACCAACAGTATCTATAGTAATGATGTATGGCAGCAGAGCTACTTTTTCCTTCTTTTTTTCTGATGGACAAGTAGGTGGCCTCCTGTCATTTGCTATCACATATGATGGATGCTGCTTGTCCTTGTTCCTGGGACCTCATGGGGTTGAGTGCTTCTGAGAGTAGTTTTAGGAACTGAGTCAGGAACTTGGGGCATTATTCAGGATTTTTGCATTTGTGACCCTAAGTGACTTTGGTCTGCGGCGAGGTCAGCCTGAGCCACACATCATACGTCTACTTTGGGGGCCAGTGAGGACGGCTGCTCTCACACAGGCCACCGAGAGCATGTCCCGGAGAAGGGCCCCGAGTCTTCCCAGAGGCCCCCGGGTGCCTGAGTGCTTGGCCAGGAGCATCAGCACCATCTGAGCTTCCTTCCAGCCTTCAGGTCACGGCCACCCCGTTCTGTGGAACAGATGGGGTGATCCGGTGAGGGTCTGTGAGTGTGCAGGGAGTGGGTGGCAGAGGAGGGAGCCCACCTCCCCGCAGCATCCAGCAGTGCTTTCAGTGTGCTCTTTGGGGTGGGATGGGTCGGTGTCAGAAACGGTGCTTAGTGAAAAAACCGGCAGAGGAGTGAGATTGATAACACGGTGCCCTCAGGTAAGGTGAAAATACATGGACACAAAGCACTAGGTTTCACAGAACATACTCAGATTAAAAGACACTAAATATAATACAGCAGTTTGCTGTGGGGTGGTGGGCCAATGAGGTGGGAACCAAGGAATAAATAAAGCAAAGGACAAATGAGATACGCAAGGTGAACCAGAGAGCTCTGTGGGGAGGTCTGGGCCTGTGCCCCCTGACCTCGGGTCCGTCTGTGGGATGCCATGCTGACGCCTGCCCTGTGGCTTCCAGCCAGGCTTTAGATGTCAGACAGTCAGAGGTGTTGGTCTTTTGACCGCATACTGCAGCCAAGAGTTTATCTAAATGAAATACTTGGTGAAGCCCTAGGTAAGTGGTATTTTCTGATGCCTGGTGGTCTGACCACTTGGCTTGTTTGGTGGTCGCAAGGAGTGAGAGGAGGGCTTGTAAAGCATTAATGAAAAGCTTCCTGTCGAAGACAGTTCACCCGAAGAACATGACAGATCCATTATGAGCGCTCCAAGTTCTGTCCAGGAAACCAAATAGTGTGTTTAGGTTGCGTGTCTCATGAAGACATGCTTCCTGTTGTGTTCTAGGTGGTTTAATTGGTTTTTAGGCTATTTTTCTTTATGATAATTTATCAGAATGGTAGCCTTTTTTCCCAGCATCCTTGCCCAGGGACACCCTTGGCCTGCAAGGGCTCATTTCCTCATTCAGGATTCTGTCTCGGGGATGGCCTCGGAGTCTGCATTCTTCTTAAATTAGAAATATTACTTAAATTTTTTATTTTATTTTTTTAGAGTCTTTATATCTGACTGGCTCCTAGGGAATGCTGATCACAATTTTTAAAAATTGAACTATTTACATACAGTAAAATTCATCTTTTCTGGTATGCAGTTCTGTAAGTTTTTGACAAGTGCTCCTAGTTGTGGCATAACCACCACAATCAGGACATAGGTCGGCTTCACCACCCCCCGAGTTCCCTTGTCCTCCTTCATAGTGGGGCCTCCCCTCACTCCCACCCCTTGGCGACCATTATCTGCCCTCAATTCTGTAATTTTATCTTTTTCAGACATTGCGTGATTCTGTATGTAGACTTTTCCTTAGCAGTATACACATAAGATCCATTGCAATTGTCTTGTCGATAGTTTGTTCCTCTTTACAGCTGAATAGTATTCCACGTTACGTATGCATCATAGTATGTCCGTCCATTTGCAGAGAAGGACATTAGTGCTTCCATGTTCTTCATTATGAATTAACTTTAAGTTAAAAAGCGTTGAAACTTTAGGAGAAATATAATTCTCTTTTTTGTTGTTTTAGGTGACATAACTCAAAAAGGATATGAAAAGAAGAGGGCAAAGCTGCTTGCATGTCACATGCTGCTCACTCAAGGTAAAGTCTGCACACCAAGTTTTTGATAGCAGTTACACTGTCTCATAAAATGACTAAACACTGAGTGTGGAGTTTAACAGTGGTATGTTTCATATTTTATTAAGAAGGACAGGCAAACACTGTGTCTAATAAATGACTAAAATTCTGATGCATGGATTATGATTTACAGCTCTGGGTTGGTATAGATCTCATTCCCCAATAGGATTTATTTTATGATTATTCAACATGACTATTTTTTATGATTATGGTAGGGAACAATTCCTTACCTAGGTCTAGAACAAATGTCATAAAGATGTCAGCTTTTCCCACCTTAGATTGATGTAGAGTTGGCACATTCATCATTCCAATAGATTTTTTTTGTGTGTGGAATTTAAGAAGCTAATTCTCACATTTACATACAAGTAAGTTTAAAGGGCCAAGGGATTCGAAGTATGCTCAAAAAAGAACAGGTGGGAGCATTTGCCCTAAAAGGATGTGGTGAAGGGTTAATATTAAGCTCTTACCATTTGGACGGCATTGCTCTGGACAAGGACAGGCAGCGAGCTGAGCAGAGCAGACACGGCCAGGCCCTGCTGGGCTCAGTGTGCAGGGCTGGCTTCTGCTCAAGGCAGTACTGCAGGTCACCATTCTGCACAGGTCCTCATCCATAGGTAAGACATGACTCTGGACACAGAAACCAGTTCCGCGTGCATTAAAGGCCTAAGGGGAAAGGCAAAAAGCATACCACCTTTAGAAGATGACAGAGCGAAACTGTTACCATTTCAAGTCATAGAAGATCCAGGATACTAACCACTACCATGTATGGCTATTGAGCACTTGAAATATAGCTGGTATGATTGAAAGACTGAATTTTTTATTTAAGTTTAATTAATTTAAACTTAAATAGCCAGCAAGTCCTCCACCATGATTAAACAAACACACATACAGTAGAAACATGGGCTAAAGACTTGAATAAGTATTTCAAAATAGGAAACTTTCACAGCCAACAAGCAAATGAGAAGATGCTTATCTTCAGTAGTTATCAGAGAATAGCACATTGAAGCCATGACCTACCTTGGGTTGTTGGAGAGGGTTCAGTCCGTAGGGTGTGGCAGCTGGTACAGGTGAGGCTCTGCAGAGGGGCAGCAGCTGTCCTTTGAGCATGGGCATATCCTGGGAACTGTGTTCACCCCTCATACTTGCTCTGTGCGCAAGAATGTTCATTTTGTCCCCAAACTGCCAAGAACTCAAATATCCGTTGACAGAACCCATCCAGTGGAGAGCCAGAGCCCTGCCCGTCAGCAAGGGTGAGTCCCGTGAACAGAGCGGGCCGTGAGGAAACAACCACAAGGGAACGCAGTCAGTGTGGGTTTGGAAACATGCCGACTGAACTGTCGAGGAGCCTTTACCCTTGGTAAAGAAGGACAAGGAAGTGGTTTTCACTGAAGTAGGGACACCATTACCTCCTGGAGCAAGATGAGGGGGTCACAGAGGACTCCCCCATGTTCTCCGTTTAGCCCTGGACTCATTTCCTCTGTGTGTGCGTGTGTGTGTCCCATGCACAGCACCAAGCAATCCTTGAACACTGGCCTGGTGTCTGTGGACTCAATTCTGATGCTCCATTCCCGGGGCCGGCACCAGATCCCCCAGGGTAAGGTCTCTGCCCTACGGGTCTGCCCTCCACCCCTGTCAGGTATATGGAAGTTTTCAGCCAGAATTGCTCTCCTGGCCTCTGCTGGTCAGATCTGGAGTAAGGGGTGGAGAGTAATGGCCATTCTCGCCTTCCCTCCATTCCTGGTATATGATTGGTCAGGCACCCGCCAGTCACCAGGGACCTGCCCATGGGGTAAATGGGGGCAGGGTGGGGAGGGAGTTGGGAAGGGGGAGCTGTGCCAAGTGTGGGGGGTGGAGAGTGCCCAGAGGCTGGAGAGAGAGGACTTCGGAGCACCTGTGAGAGACACCGAGCGGTGAGAAATAAAAATCCCCTTCCCCAACCTCTCACACTTGTTCTTTGGTCTTTCCAGACTCTCAGGTAATGTGTCCCGGGCAGGAACCCCCTTCCCCCTGGAGCCACGGCTGCCCCACTCCAGTCTCTGGTCGCAGGCCTCAGGCTTTCCCTGTGCTCTGACCAGCCAACTAGATGGGAGGTTCCCACTTCCTCCCCCTTGGGTTCAAAGAATTTGCTAGAAGGCTCATAGAACTGAGGAAAACACTTAACCGTTCAGCAGTTTAATAAAGGGTCCCGTAAACGGTACGAGTTAACAGCCAGGTGGAGAGATGCACAGGGTAAGGTCCCAGATAAAGGAGCTTCTCTCCTTGTGGGGCCTGCTGCCTGGCCCAGCGGGTGGCGTTTTGGAGCGTTCCTGTCCCCCAAGCGTGGAAGCTCTCTCTCCTGGACAGGGAAGCAGGATGGAAAAGAGGCAAATGCTCCTCTTGGGTTCTGTGAGGGTTTCATTGCCATCACGACTGACTGAATCATGGGCGATTCAACCCCAGCCCCACTGCCCTTCCCCTCCCGGGGACTGGGGGCTGAGAGCTCCCACCCTCTGATCACAGGGTTGGTCCCCCTGGCAACCGGCCCTGCCCCTGGGTGGGTCCAAGTCTATCCTTCACATAACAAGACACCCATTTCAGCTCTATGGCTCTGAAGTGATTCAGGAACCTTGGGTGGAGACCGCATAAGTCTGAGAAATGTATTTTAGTCATCTGAATGGTCAAATGGTCACTACACGGTAACTTCTTAACTGGTGTAGTTATTGTACTCATTTTTTCTGTGTGGTAGTTCTTAAATTGAACACATGCTTTATACATGTTGGTGTGATAATGTTTTATAAAAACACAAATATTGAGGAGGCTCTTTACATACTGACATTCATCAATCAAAACAAAAACAAACTGAATAAAAGTGGAATTTAAGGAAACTATCAAAACATCTTAAAGCCATTTGCCAAACATCCGCAGCAGCCGCCATGACATGGCATCTACTTCCAAGCCGGCAGGGCAGGTACTCATGCAATAGGATATCCACGGGGTGTCAGGACACACAGAGACGACTTTATTTTATGCTGTGAAGACCCAGGTGGCTGCTAATGTAACTGTTGGAATTAGTAGGAGTGTTGGGTTTGGTAGAAGGCAACACCCAAGAATCGAAAGCTTTTCTCTGGCAGTATTTCTGTTAATGAAAAACTTACATCATAATGGCAATCATCTGTCAGATTCTTGTTACTACATTTAGCAAGAAAGCCACAGAACCTATATTAGGCTCATAAAACCTATTTGAAAGAAATAACCTGAGACCCTAATATATGAATAAACATACCAGTTTCCTAAATGGAAAAACTTAATACTGTGAAACTGGCAGTTTCCCAAGTTAATGTGTGAACATACTGTAGTCCAGTTTGAATATCAGTGCTGATTTTCCCCCCAAAGCTGGGATTGGAAATAATAACCCATTTAAAGGAGAAAGTTCCCAAGAGCAGTGAATACAGTCTTGAAAAAGAGCCCTGGTGAGAGAGGAGTGGCCACGAGGAGCCCAGCTGACTGTGCACCCTCCTCTCGCAGCAGATGGGTGCTGGTGTGGGTGGAAGGCTGGCCAGCCAAGGGGGGCGCTGGAGGGGATTCAGGAGAAGGGGGCGGTGGGGTTGTTCAGTAATGGGCGCCGTCCCTTTGGGGGCAACAGGTTGGGACCCTCTTCCTTTCTTCCCTCAGTGAACATCAACTTCCGATTAAAGCTCTAAATATGATTGTAGTTATAAAATACTATAATTCAGGAAAATATTTCAATACCTTGGAGCAGGAGTTCTGAGATAAGAAGCCTGGAGATCAGAAAGGAAAGACTAGCAGTTAAGATTGGTGCCCTGGAATGAAAAGAGCCCAGTGTGACCGAGCCGCCCTGGCCAGGCCCCAGCCCTGGACGCCGCACTGTCCAACGCAGGGTCCCCGGTGGCGCTCAGGGGGGCTTGTTAGCTGGGCTAAATGAGTTAGAATTCAAAAATGAAGAAACACGGTTGGACAATGAACATTAGATTATGTTCAGCCCCACTAGTAGTAGATAGGGAAATGCAAATGAAAGTGAACCATTTTTCTGTTAGTTTGGAAGACTCTAAAACTTTTTATAACACCCAGTGCTGACAAGGATGTGGGGAAACAGCACTTTCATACATTGCTTGTGGGAGTGCGAATTGCTGTGACCTTTCTGGAAAGTTACCTCTTGATATCTTGTTAAAATAAAAGATATACCTACTCTTTCATCCAGTAATTTCACTTTGGGTTTATTTTGTATCTTTCTTGAATAAATGAATCTATCTCAAAGAATAACAGCACCCATATTTTGGAATGTAAGTGTAAGGACGTCCATATGCATATATATGCATATATATCACTTTGCAACATGCCTGCGTAACCCATAATGCATAAGACTGGATTCTCCATTATGAAATGTGAAGCTGTTTTATCAAGAAACAAGAAACAAAAAGCCACTAGCAGTAAAGGTCAGCACTGCTGTGTATGTGTGTATGCACATGTATGTGTGTGTGTGCATAACTGCTTAAATTGTGAAGAACTAAACACTGATTTCCAGAGGAGAGTGTCCCCAGTCTCTGCTGCCACAAAACTCCCTTCCTGGAACGTGGTACCTGGTTCTACTCATCTCACAGGGGTGCAGCTGGGCCAGGCTCGGGGCAGCTTCTCCCTGTCCACAGGGCCAGAGCTGCCCCGTGAGGGCTCCTCATTCACAGCTGGGTTGCAGGCCCCTGCCTCCTGTCCCCTGTCCTCACGTGTCCTGGTGTGTGGGCACAGACGGCCAGCACTGTGGGAGCTGTGTCGCCTCACAACCAACCTCAGAGGCCACAGTGTCGCTTCTACACGCCATGTATGTCCGTCGGCAGTGCTGGCCCACCTGGGTTTCGACTGCTTTTCTTCAAGGAGCCGTCATGGCTGGAGAAGCCAGTGCGGCCGGATCCCTGCTGGTCTTGATACATTGTGAAACAGAGGCTAAAATTAAACATTATTTTCACGCAAGCACAGTGGAAGGCTTTGCTTTGTGTTTTTCTCAAATGTCAGCAAATAGGACTCACACCAGGGATTCTGTTTATTGAGGGTGCATACTTGTGTCATGTTCATTTCTTCACCACCATGTGTCCTGAGGGCCTGTGTGATTGGGGCCATGGATGCAAGCTGGGGGTGTGGAGGGCCGTCCACGTGCTGGGTTTGGAGAGAGCAAGCCCATGTCTGAGCTGAGGCTCTGCATGTTAGTCCCCGTATCATCTGCACCTCCACTCCCCAGCCTTCTGTTTTGCTGCCTGGGTCTGAGGTCGACAGATGACATCCCTTGGAATTGCTTGGTGGACTGTTTCTCTCTGAGCTTGCTGACACCATGGACTGGGCCGGGAAAGGTGACCCTGGCCATGTCAGATTCAGGAAACATTTATGATGCTGATAGGCTTTCAAAAAACTCCCTGGAGAGCCTGCCCTGAGTGATGCAGTGCTGTCGGGCCTCAGGGACCCATCCTGTGGTCGCTGGGCTGCAAGGCAGGGCTGGGTGTGTGGGGAGAGAGCTGGAAGTGGACATTCATGGCTCCGTCCCGAGCTCCGGATTCGGGGGTCTTCTGGGCCACGAGGGCCACTGTGGGTCTCGTACTCAGATCATCGTCTCTGGTGCCATGTGTGCTGTATAGCAGCGTATGAGAAGTGTGTATGCACGGACTTCTCCCTAGCTGACAACAAATTTTTTACATGAGATTTTCCTGTAAAATTGTGTTGCAGTAGAGCCCACCTTCCAAGCAGAGGCTAGGACCCCAGGGCCCTCACAGACCTCGGCCGCAGCACCCAAACTGCAGAAGCCCCGGCCCACCACCTCCCGGGATGAGCGCTTCCGGTCAGGTAGGGCCCGGAGAGGGGCAAGCCTCAGCTGTGGACTGAGTCCTTCGGGTATTTTTCCTATGCTAGAAATGTCTGCTGAAGCAATTCCTCTCACTTGAACGATGATTTTCTACACCGTCATAACCACAGTATGCTCTGACAAGACTGTGGTGTAAGTGCTGTCTTCTTAGGGGAGCTTATAAAGACCCAGAGGACTGTTCCCCCATTGGGATAATTTCTTTAGGGGTCTTTGTCCATTTTCCTGCCAGGAGCTTTGGGATAGGAATTACTAGTCTTTGTACATGCTGAGCAGTTTTAGTACTATAGGTGTTGCAGTATTTTTTTTTCTTCTAATTTTGGGGATTTCCTTCTAACTAGATTTCTGTCACTTTAATGCTTTTATGAGCACTTAAGTTTGCCTCTGGTGTGTTACTTGAATTGTCAGAATGCCCACTGGAAAAAAATCATGGTTTTGATTACAAGCTATGTATCAATAACTTCTGAGCAGTCTATTCTACCTGTTTAATGTTTTCCACCATTGTGTGGTTGTAAACTTGTTTTATATTTAAGCTCTTTTGGTAAGCCCCTTTAAAAAGAAAAACTTTCAACAGAGATATAGAAATGACCAATTTGTTTTAAGAAAATCTAAAAAGAATGTTAAAACTTTGTAAGTTCTGCCAGCATGGGAATGTGATGAAGTGGTAGAGAAATTTTTGATCAGATAATTTCTTACTAATAAGCATTTAAAAGAACTTTGTCACACTGATGATAGTTTCTTTTTTGATTGTATAAATATACATGGAACATAAAAACATTACACCAAGTTTCAGGACAAAAGTAAAAATCACCTAACAGCTCTGAATGCCGAGACCACCAGCATCAGCATGGCACGGAGCACCATCCCCTCAGCCCCGGAAGCAGACCCAGGTGCCTGCATGTCTGGCGGCTGCTCTCGCCCCAGTCCATTTCCATGTAGCAGTGTTAATGAACTGCTTTCTGCCCTTAAGTTCTAATTCTTTATTTGTTAAATACAAGACCTTTATCATAAATGTGATTTACTAATATTTTCTCCCAGGCTTTGCTTGTCTTTGTATTCTGTAGAAGTGGCTTTTGAAGAACAGAAGTTCTTAATTTTAATGAAGTCTAACTTAACCATTTTTTAAAAAATGGATAGTGCTTTTGTTTTATGTCTAAGAAATCATTGCCTAACGCAAGGTCACAAATTCTCACCTGTGTTTTTTTCCAAGCATCTTATAGATCTGGATTTTATGTTTAGGTCTGTGAGCCATGTTTCATTTAATTTCAGTATGAATTCAAGGACTGGCTCAAGGCTTATTTTGTGCATGTGGACACCTGGCTGTCCTCCACCATTTGCTGAAAATGTGTTACCTTTGCCCCTCTGTCTGACAGCAGCTGCATGGCTATGAATCCCTTTCTGGGCTCCCTTCACCTATTGATGCATTTGTCTATATGGTAAAACCATGCTGTCAGTGATTATAGCTTAATAGTGATTGTTGAAACCTGTATTGTTATTCCTCTAAGTTTGTGGCTTACCATTGTTCCTTTGTCTGTAAGGCATCTTTTCTCCTGCGGCACTTCCGTGATTTGTCTCCGTGTCACTGGTTTGAGTGATTTGTGATATGCCCCATGTGGGCTGTGTCCTGTGCTTGGGGTCTGTGCAGCTTCCTGCATCTGTTGGTCTATCCTGCCTTGCTGATGCTGCCTTGATGTTTGCTTTAGGGTGGTCTGTTCTGTTCTTAAGGTTTTGTTTGTTCCTAAGAGAGCAGTGAAGTTTAAAGAGTGTGCTCACACCGTTGCCCTGTCTGTCTGGGGCTTCAGATTTGACATTCTCACAGGCGCCTCCTTCCATGAGTGTTTGCAGTTGTATGTCTGGGAGTATTTTTATTAGACTCTCATGTTTAAGTGATACTTGGCTGGATATGGAATTCTAGGTTAAACACTTTTTCATTTAACACTGTTGCCGTCCTGCACTCAGTGGTCACTATAATGTCAGCCTATTTCTTGACGCTTCAGGATGACTTGTTTCCCTTTGGAACCCTTTAGAACTGTCTTGTTGTCTCTGATGTTTATACATTTTGTTTTATTATGCCTAGGTGTGAGTTTTTCTTCTTTCCTGATTAATATCCCATGCACCATTTCTTATAAGATTTTTAAATATTTCAAAAGCATTTTGTTGGAGAATAATTTAAACATGTACAGAAGTGGACTTTACCGCGTGATGACCCCTGGCTCGTCGTCTGGCTCCCGCCATCTACCTGCCCTCCAACCTCGTCCCCCAACCGTGTGATTTTGAAAGAAATCTCAGAGATCATGTTATTTCATTTAGATGTCATAATATTCTTGGTCTGTGTATCTGTACAGAATGTATGTATTTCTAAAAGATAATACCGCTAACACTAATTCCTTAACACCAAATACCCAAATGTTCCTATGGCTTTTTAAAACCAGTGTATGTGGACCTGGGATACAGATAAGATTTGCATGTCACCAATGGCTGGTGCGCTTGCAGTGGCTCCCTCCAGTCTTTGGAAGGCCCTGGGCCCGCGCTGTGAGTCCGATGGCTCCTCTGCGGGGTAGCCCTGAGCAACTCAGCGCCGGGAGCTCCCGAGGGTCAACTCAGGACCCTCACTGTTTATCAGAGCCCTTTGGAGATGATGCTGCGCCCTCCGTCTGGACCTGGAGCAGGCCGACTCTCTCCTCTTGGAAGCTGGCCGTCAGTGACACCCAGTCCATTCGTTCATCAGTGCTCCAAAGTGGTGATTCCGCCACCCCTCTTCATTCAAGGCTGGAATACTTCTATACAGAGAAATTTCTTGCTTACTGTATACAGGAGAGCCTGGATAAATACTCAGTCCTTTCCATTTATTTACCCCTTTTCCAAATAATGGGTTGGGTCACTGGAGTCCTCCAATTCCACCAATTAATTTACTTCCTCTTTTTCTTCCTGTCTGTTCTTTTGCCTTTTTTTTTTTGTATCGTGTTTGATATTCAGTCCATTCTAGCACGTACCCTTGTTGATATTCAAACCATCCCATCGTTAGCCACTGGGAGCACATCAGGCTGTTTGCACTGTTTTCTCCTGTCCTCGTTGGCTGTTATAAGATGTTCCAGGTGTATGTGTGCTTTTCCTGGTTGCCCCAGAGTCTCCCATATCTCAGGGTCCCTTTATGAGACAGCACTTTAAGACCACAGTCTGGGAGCACCCATGTGCACTGCTAGTGGGCTGGAAGTCGTTTCTAGGCATCTTCAGGGGACAGAGTAAGATGACTTAAAGACACTGAGCATGTGGGTTCCTACTTCCCGTTCACATGCAGGGCTGTAGAACCTGTACCTCACTTCTTGTATGTCCTCTCCGTACCAGTGTCTCGGTTCCCAGGGAGAGTTGTGTCATACTGTCACGCACGGGCATGGTGGTGACAGTGCCCTCCCTGCCTCCAGCAGCGTGACCACAGGGAAAAGCTGAGGGCTATGCGATTCCCTTTGCCCTTAGTAGGCACGTCTAGAGGGACAGATTAAACAGGCATCTGGGATGGTTTTTACCAACAATTGGACACACATTTAGGCTCATCTGTCTCACTTTAAATCTTTAGGATTTCTTATTTTAGTTTTGATCTATAGCTATGAAAATATTTATATGGTTGTAAAGTCAAATCTACAAACAAAGGAATGTTAGAAGAAGTCTAGGACCCATGTGTGGACCCTCTGCAAGTGGGGCTTTTGTTCCCTTTATGCTCGATGAAGACAAACCAAAACATGAGACTTAATTTTGCTATTTCAGTACCAATCTTGTGGAGAGTATTTTTACTGCTGTCATTTTCTGTGCAGATGTCCACACTGAAGCGGTGCAAGCAGCTTTGGCCAAATACAAGGAGAGGAGGATGCCTATGCCTTCCAAAAGACGCTCTGTCCTCGTGTACCCCTCCGCAGACACCTGCACCCCCCCAGGTACTGACGAGCAGTGCCCTTGGTTCCCATCGACTTGGAATAGCTTTCTGGCTATAGTGGAGATCAGGGAAGCTGGAGATTAAACATGTTTGTGCACATGCAGTCTTTTGTGCCTGAGAGTCTGTGGTCTGCTCGGTGTGGCTTTATCAGTGGACACTTGCTTTTCACAGAACTTTTCATGTAGATTTTAACTTTTTTACTCAGATACTCTTTATGTCTTTTAACAAAGAGAAGAATCTTAAAATAAAAGCTCCCTGAATTAAAATTTTTAAAATTATTCTCATTTTATTAACTATTATCTACTGTTACTACCAGGCCTTAAATGGGAGGATGTAAGGCTGTTTGGAGGGTTCTTTGATGTATGTTTTTGTTGTTTTGATATTACCATTAACAATGAAAACCTTTACACGGAGTCTTTCTTCAGCAGTGTGTTGGAAGCGTCTTATCAAACCAAGGTAAGGAACTGGCAGTGTTTACCGACTGTGTGTCTGCGCTGGTCTGCTCTGCCTGTTCTGGTATTTAAGTCATGAAACTGGCGGCATTTTTGTGTTGATGACATAGCAAAAACCAAACACCAGATTCATAAGACAGTTGAGTGGTTTTGGTAACACGTCCTTGCTAAAGAAAAATAAAGTTTATGTTGTTGAAAAAAAATTTCAGAAATGGCTGTCAGATTATTGTTTTTAGTAAATGTAACAATAGATACCACGCAGTTCTTAAAGAACTTTTTTAGGAATTGTGAAACTCCTAATGAAGTGCACAGTCATGCTAGCTTGATGGAACCTGATGCAGTTACCATGACTGGCTGCGGCGGTTGTCTTAGGGAAGGAATTCTTTCTCAGAGCTCATTCCTGCTGCCCCTAGGTGGACGCAGGTGAGCAGGAAGGCCTGGAGGTGGATCTGGCTGCAGCCTCCACGGCCACCGAGCTGCCTCGGCCCCGCCTGAGGGATGTCAGCTGTGTGTGAAGGTGGTGTGGGATCTGAACGGATGTTCGCACAACACTCAACACTTGGGGCTCCTTTGATATTTGGGTCCCCACCCAGGACTGTGCTAAAGACCTCAAGGAGTCGGGCTGTCTTCCCTGCCAATGTGTGGTGCCCCAGGACTGAGTCCTTGGGGGAAACTGAGTCTGTGGAACCAGTTTCCCAAGTGGGGCCCCTCAGATCTTACAGTCGGTCACGTGCAGGCCCCTCTAGGCCAAGGGCTGGGAAGAGCTCTAGGCCACCTCTGGGCACAGGAGTGCAGGCACACAGGGAGGCCCAGGAGGCCCGGTGCCAGTGTGGGGACTCTGCCCTCCTCTTAACGCACCCCCACCTCATTCCTGTCATTATTATTTTAACCACAGACACATCGTCTGCCTCAGAAGATGAGGGCCCTTCACGGCGGCCAGGGAGACTCACCTCCACTCCTCTCCAGAGCCATGGCAGCATCGAGCCCTGGCTCGGCCAGGTCCTTGAGGCCTCGTCCTCCTCCTCCTCCGCTTCATCTCACCCGGGTGGGAGACCTGCCGCTGCTCCCTGGGCGGCCACTGCACTCACGGGCCCCACGGCTGACGCCCACATAGGTCAGTAGGAGCCGCGCAGCCCCTCCCGGATGCGGGCACCACTCTGGGCACGCGCCCCTCAGACCCACCTCTCTTTCTCATCTGGAACATGTCTTTCTAGTAGCAAAAGGAGTTCTTGACGCTTCTGTGGTGTGGTGACCCAGACCTGTGGCACGTGTGCCCTCCGTGGACCCTGGTGTTTCTTGACATGTGTCCTGCTCCGAGTGGCAGGCCAGTACTGGTGGCAGCTGCAGGCTGGGTGGCCAGTCCGATGTGACCACTCCTCTTGGCCTGCTGCCTCCATACCGTCCCATCTCTGCTCTTGCCTATGTGTACAGCAGTGGCCCCAAGGCGGGGACTGGAGCCACTCTCTGGCCTTTTTTTCTTCCACATCCAGGTCACGCCCCTCAACCTGAGGCAGGGTGTCAGTCAGGGCTAAATCATAATGATGTGTTGATCTTTTCCGAATCACCAAAACCATTAAGTAACCTTAATGTTGGGAAGGAAAGAGCTACAAACCTTTCCATGCTTGAAATAATATTTTTAAAACAAAAATAGCACGGCACATGAGGTCTACATGCACTCACACTCGCACCTGAGAAAGTGTGTCCTGGAGGGCACAGTCTGCATGGCTGAAGGCTCCTCTTACCCCTTTACTGTAGATGTGGAGGGAAGACAAGAAGCCGGGTGACTGTGACCTGCCTGAGGTCACACCACTGGCTGAGCACAGCAGGCAGGGCTGGAACACTGTCTCCTTGTCTCCTGTTCAGTTTCTCTGCTGTTGGTTGCTGTTCTGCTAAAACTGAAGCAGCAACCCACCCTGCACTTACGGCAGGCTGGCATTCTCAGTGGGGTCCCCGTGGGTCGAACGCCCCCAGGTAGGTGTGGCTCAGTGCTGGGCTGCTTTCGCGTGGGGTCTGGTCACTTGGCTGGACTGGGTGTGAACCGGGGTCCACCATGCTCTGTGGACGTGCTGCTGCCCCTTGTTGATTTGTTGTGTCAGTACTAGAAACCTGCGCATTTCTGTGGAGCCTGTGTCCATGCGACCACCGGGAAAGCAGAGAGGCTGGGGGTCAGACAGCATGTTTTATGAGGAGAGGCCTCTTTGGAAAACAGCCTGCCCAGGTTCTTCTGGTAGCTTTCCTGGTGTCCTGTGAACAGCTGGTAGTCATGCCCACCTCTCAAGGAGGCTCGCAGTGGACAGCTTGAAAAATAGTTTTTACATTGATACATTTGCTGTTTGTGATGGTGAGTTGACCTGCTGGAAACATACAGATATCTCCAGTGTGAGAAAAAGGAGTTTGTGAATGTCTGTCACCTTATTTCTGCTTCCTGAAGCTCTGTTCTGGGTGCAATGGCATAGGAAGGTATAGTTTGAGCATGTTATTAGCCGTTGCCAACCAGCCATAAACACTTCCTAGTGGGTTAATAATACACGTATATTTAGAGTGGAAAATTGGCTCGAGTTCAAAACTTTTAACCGGACAGCCCTCAATTTCCCAGTGGTTGTGGGGTCTTGTAACAAAGCACCTAACTGTGGATGTGTTTGAGTCAGGTGTGTGCATTCTCTGAAGGCCCCAAGCTCTACAGGTCTCTGAGGGGATGCATTGCCTCGGGACGGCAGACGCCCGGCTCTGCAGGTGTGGCTGCAGTCCCCTCTTCTCCCAGCTTGCTTGGCCTCATACACACACCGTGTGGTTGATTCTGGTAAATACTAAAAGTCTTCATGTGGGCTCTAATACCTTACTGTGTATTACAGCTTTCAGATGCTAAGTAATTGCTGGGTAGAATTGGCTCAGATTTCTAAATCTGAACACACTTAGTTTCCCTCTCCTTATAACAATCATCCTTTTAGTTTCCGACCCCAGAGAATTCTTCAGTTTGCACTAAGGAAAGAAGAGACTGTATTAGGTAAAAAATTTGAGGAAGAATATATTAGGCAAAGGCAATTTTAAAAAAATACCATTTTCTATCTTGGATTAAGGAAATCAAACACATAAGACATTTGGATACAAATCTAAATATCTATATTTAAAAGCAGTTTTAGTTGAAGTAGTTCATTTTTATTTTGGTGTAGTTTATGCAGCAGTTTAAAAACTACTTTGTAGTGAATATGACCACTCATGCCTTTTTTCTTGAGCACCTTTAAAGTCACTTCCTCTTTTCGCTGGATTTGGAAGGAGGGAAGAGCTGCGTGGTGGGTATCCCTTAACTTGCTGGCTTCAGCAACACCAAGCTATGCTGAGGGCTGTGAAAACTCTGCCATTCAATTTAGATTTTTCTGAATGGTGTTTTCTGCTGCATAAATAGTGAGGTCGTGGTTTGCTCCCATATACTCTCATCTTTCCACATATTTGAAAAAAATCCAGTTTTCATTCTGCCTAGATTATGAAGTGATAGGGTATATGATTGTAATTTAAAAATGTAAAGTATTGGTCCCCCATGGCGGCGGGGGTACTGGTTAGATTGAGCAGCCTTACAGACGTCCACCAGCACAGACGGACACTGAATCTCACGAGTGGGCAGGCGTTTGTGCAGCCAGTTGCAGTGGACACGATTTCTAAGAGTCCTATAGAGAGGTGCATTTCCTAGCTGGAGACCCAGTTGTCAAAAGAAGGCTGTGGCAGCCTATAGGCAGCCTGTATACCAAACAGAAAAATGTGCCATAGAGTGAAAATTAAATACAAAAATGCACACTTAAACCATTGAAGAATGACCTGGAACATTTTCTGTACCCTGGACTGCGGTCTCAGTGCCGAGACATGCTGAGCAGGCAACACTGCAAAGAGGTCTTGTGTCTTTGTAGCATCCAACGTACTCTTTGGGGGAGTGGGGGTAGTTTATAGAAGCCTGGCTATTGTTTTTCATAATATAACAAAAAATGGTCCAATAACAATTGATTTCAAGTGTGTTTCTACTTCGTCGGGGAGATTTCTAACTCGGACCCCATCAGGCCATTGTGAAGGGTGGGCTCTGGGCCTGAGCAGGGGTTCTGGCCCGGATCCCTCAAGAGCCGAGGAGCCCGCGCCGCGTCTGGGGGCTGGAGGCCCATAGGGCCCCGTGGTGTCCCGGCTTGGGGCTCAGCCAGCGAAGGCCTCGGCTGGGGGCACCTACGCAGCAACTTGATGCTCTTTCGGGGCACCGGCCGCTGGCGCTCTGGATCTTCTCTCAAAGGCCGAGCTGCGCTCTGCCCCCACCCCCCGGCGTCACCCCGGGCCTCGGGAGGCGGCGGGTAGGGGGCGCGCCTCCCCTTCCCTTCCCGGAGCCGCAGAGCTCGGGTCCCCCCAGGTGGGAGCGCTGCCTTGGTGTGTCTGCATCCGCGGACCCGAGCCCGCCCCTCAGGCACCGTTCGGTGCAGGATCCCCGCCACCAGCGGCACCGTGTGGACAAAGAATCAGGGACGTCTGCGGGGTCGGTCAAGGGGGGACGAGGAGAGCGGGGGTGGGTGGGGAAGGAAGCTTCCGACCTTAGATCGGTGGGAAAGGATCCGATTTAAGCTGGACCTGCAGCAGAGTAGGAAGAGGGGGTGCTGTGCGGGCTTCCTCACCGGGACTCCGTGGCGGGCGGGGCGGGAGGGCATCCCCGGGGCGCACGCGCAGGCCCAGAGGTGGGCGGGGCGTGCCGGTTCCTCCTGAAACAGGTTCGTCGTTTGTCTAAATTGTAGGAAGATCCGGAGGATCTCAAATCTAACACTTCAGTATGTATTTTGATACTCCTAAGCATCAGGTCGAATTTATCAAGTTCTTGCAGCTCCTTGTTCAGATGCAAAAGGAAAATACTGAGTCAGCATGAGGCAGGCTTTCCATTGGCTAGGTACATTTTTAATTTGATTTATAACGTTTATATATATCTAAAAAAATTAAATTGCTTTATTGAGATGTAATTGACATGTAATCAACCTCACATAGTGAAGTGTACACATCACAAATTTTAAGCTGTGTTAACACTGGCGAAATCATTCCTGTAAGCAGTGAGCACTTGAGTGCTCCTAAAAGTTCCCTTCGCCGCTTGGCAGTACCTCCCTTCTGCCCCTTCTGGCTCCTCTACCCCTCGGGCAACCTCGGATTTACTTCCTGACACTGTACGTTAGTTTGCATTTTCAAGTATTTTATATAAATAGAATCATATAGCATTCACTCTTTATTGTCTGGCTTCTGCCCCTTGGCATAATTATTTTGAGGTTCAGTTGTGTCCTTGTAAGCATTTGGGCAGGTCATCCCTTCTACGGGTGGCATGGTGTTTCATTCCGTGGGCACAGCAGTTTGTCTGTTCACCTCTCGATGGGTGTTCTGGGTGTTTCCAGAGGCTCTTGCAGATGAATATTCTTATACAAGTCTTTGTACGGATATATGTTCATTTCTTTTGGGTCAGTACCTAGGAGTAGAATGGCTAGATCATATAGTAAGTGTATGTTTAACTGTTTAAGAAATTGCCAAACCGATTTTCAAAGTGATTGTGCCATTTCACATTTCCACCATCAGTGATAATAGTTCCAGTTTCTCTGCATCCTTGCGACAGTTGTACTGTTGGTTTTTAATTTTAACCCTCTCAGTAGGTATGTAGAGGTATCTCATTACAGTTTTAATTTGTCTCCAAAATGACTGGTGATGTTGAACATCTCTTCATGTGCTTATTTGCCATCTGTGTATCTTTTTAGAAGAGTTCTGAAAGGAAAAGAGGGGATGCGAACTCAACAGTCTAAGCAGGTTTATTGCTAAACCTGAGAGGGACCCCTTGTTTTGGCAAGCAGAACAAAGAAGGTGTCTCTTACAGGCTAAGAGGCTTTTTATGGCCAGGGTTTTTGGTGGGCTCTTTGAGGGGAGGGGTCAGGGGAAAGGGAGGCTTGTGGCTTCCTGGCTTGTCCTCTGGAGAAGGCTTGTAGCCTCGGTAAGATGAAACCTAGGTCTCTCTGAGGCAGTGGGTGGGCTTATTCAAAAAGGCGGTACTCCTGTCCAGATTCTATCAAAACTTTGGCTTACTTTTTAATGTGATATTTGTTTTCTTATTAAGTTTTGAGAGTTCTTTATGTATTCTGGGTATAAGTTCTTTATCAGGTTGTAATTTGTATTTTCTCCCAGTCTGTGGCTTCTGTTTTCATTCTCTTAACAGGGCCTTTCAAAGAGCAGAAGTTTTACATTTTGATGAAGTCCAGTTTACCAATTTTTTCTTTTACAGATCCTTCTTTTTTGTCATATCTAAGATATGTGTTCCTAACCTGAGGTCATAAAGACTTCATGTATTTTCTCCTAGAATTTTACAGTTTTAGGTTTTGCATTTAGGAGTGTGATTCACTTTGAGTTTATGTTACTGCAAAGTGTGAGTCAAGTTCACTTTCTGTACATGGATAGCAATTTTATCGGTACCATTTGCTGTAAGGACCATTCTTTCCCTGCTGAGTTTCTTTGACATCTTTAGTGAAAATACATAGCCCACACACGAGAAAAGGCTGCATGCAGCCCTGTTGCCCTCCTCATCCCCCTCATTCCAATGCCACACTGTCCTCATGACTATGCTTTATAATCAGTCTTGAAGTCATGTAGTTTGTCTTTAATCCTGCTTTTTGTTTAAGAATTTGCTTTGGCTATTCCAGCTCCTTTGCCCCTTAATGTGTATTTCAGAATCAGTTTGTTAATGTCTACCAGAATTCCTGCCATATTCATTGACAGTTCATTGACTCTCTAGATCAGTCTGGAGAAATTGGCATCTTGATAATATTGTATATTTCAATTAATAAATACAGTATATCGCTCCATTTATTTAGCTCTTATAAAATATTTTTCAGCACTGCTTTGTAGCTTTCAGTGTACAGGTATTGCATGTATTTTATTAAAACTATCCCCAAATATGTTTTTGATGCTTTTATAAATGGTATTTAAATTTTTTTCCAGCTGTTTGTTGCTAAAGTCTACAGAGATATAGTTGATATTTGTATGTTGACCTTATATTAGTTCTAGTAGCTTTTTGGGTAGATTCCTTAAGATTTTCTACATGATGACCATATTGCCTGTGAATACAGTTTTCTTTCCAAACTGTTTATCTACAGGAACATTTATTTTTCTGGCTGTATTGTGGTGTCTAGGATTTCTAGTATGTCAACTAGAAATGTAAGAATGCACGTAAGTTTCCTTGTTTCCAGGTGTTGGGAAAGCACACACTTTCTCATTTTTAGATTGTTGTGCCACCTTTTGTATGAGAAACAAGAGAGAATAACAAACCATGCATATGCCTGCTGACCTGTATAGAAGGAAATGCCAGAAGGGTAAACCCGAAAGCAGTGAAGTTGGCCACCCCTGGGGGTGGAGCAGGTGGTGGGAGGAGTTCAGGAGGGACTGGCCTTTCTTTGAGTTTATCCTTTTATACAATTTGGACTTTCAGAAATTTGTTGATGTTCTACACATTGAAAACATAAACCAAAAGAATGGAGGGGGGTGATCCCCTAAAACTGAAAGCAAATGGAAATAACCCAGTAGTATTTCCAAGAAACACACAGCCACACTTCAGGGGGCCTTGGGGAGAGAGCCCCCACAGGTAAGTCCTGACACAGTGTTTGACTGCAGCCCAGCCTTGGGACCCAGTTGGGTGGGAAGAATAGCAAACAAATCCTGAACTCTTTTTAGTAGGTTTGTTTTTTGTAGTGGAATGGGTGAAGCAATTTGGAGATTATTTTACATATGTGATGGTTTTGAGTAAAGGTGTTGGTTTTGTTGAGAGCCAGGGTTCTCCCTGTGGAAGAAGAGACACTCAAATATGAACTGGAAAAGGTGAGAAAGAGCACTGTGGGGAAGATTGGAATTGGAGGCATTCGTGTGGACTCATGATTTCTAAGATGTACATGTGTGTGTTACTGCTTGACTGTGCACATGTATCTTGTACATGTAGTGTGTGTATACCGTGAATGTGTGTATGTGCACCTGGGGCAGCTCTCCAGCTGTGCGTGCTGCAAGAAGCAGAGATAGAGCCATAGCAGTGAGCATGCCTAGTGGCCAGATCATGGTGTCTAATGACCTTTCTATACAGAAGAACCAGCAATTCTTGAAGAAATGGGCCAAGGTGGGATAGCATAAATGACTCAGAAACATCTATGACAGGATAAGGCAGTATTTGAAAAATGTTGGGGAAATGTCACAAATCACACAGGATCCTACTGGCCAAACCTGGATCGGTGTGCAGCAGGATAGTTAAGAGAACACTATCTAATAACCAAGACACTAGCAATCCATGAGTTCTTCCTGAGGATCGATCTGTAGACAGACAGACAGATGGCATGCAGCATGCTCAATATCAACTGGTAAATTTAAATGGAGTGCTAAATGAGTGGAAAATAATTTTTCAACCACTGTAGTAAAATATACTTCTGGCAAGAAGGATCCAGGGCCTTTAACTGTGGGGAGGAGACTTGATTAGGATATCTGTGTGGTCCTGACATGTCTCCTTAACATGTGGTTACTAGTCACACAAGAAAAAACAGCAGTGAGGTAGTGGAGAGTCCATATAGCACTTTGGGCAATAAAAATCAGCATCTCCTTGAGGGTGGACATGACATTCAGGTAGCAGCAGCTCAGTCAGGAATGCAGTACCTGAAATGAATCATGAGAAAACCTCTCACAAACTCAAAATGAAGTATGTCCTACTTAATGAAGGGAAAGAACTGTACTCTGCAAAATGCCATTGTGGTAAAGGACAAATATCCCAGGATGAAGGGGGCTAACAGGATGTGACAGGTAAATCCAGTTCTTGACTGTAAACTGGCTCCAGTCGTGGAGGAAGGAAGAGGCCAAGGGAGGCAGCCGTGGGGCCAGCTGAGTGCCCCCACCTTGGGGTGTCTGGGCCCCAGGGGCCTTTTGTGCGCCCGCCCCTTCTGCAGCCGCGCTCCCATGCTCTCGGCCATCTCGCCCTGGTGTCTGGCTTAGAGCACACATGCCATGTCACGTATTCTGGGTTGTTCCCATATGTCCGTATGTTTGCTTGTTTGCACCCAGCAGAGGGTGAGCTCTTTGCCAGCCATCTTTCATCTCTCCTTTTGCCGACTGTACATCTTCCAGAACAGTGGATCTTAATCATTATTGAGGACACCAAAGAGCTTTGGGTTGTGTGTGTTATCACTTGAATTAAAATTAAAATGAAAGATTTTAAAGAAATATTTCAATTCATTTAAAAATAATAATAAGCTCATTGTATCTTAATATAAGTAGTAGATATTTATGAAAAAGTTTGTTAAGCAACAAAAATTTTGTGAGAAGAGTGGGCTTGTTCCCTCTTGCTGCCAGTCTCTCTCATGAGTGGTATGGTAGAAGCATCTTCTTCTGGTGTCTCATCCCCATTCAGTCTGTTGTGACATTTCACGTTGTGCGGCCTCTGGAGGGCTGTGGGTGCCCTTAAGGCAGAGTGGAAGGTGTCTCCCTGTGGCCATGGATGTAGTTTGGACCTCACCAGCCCCATCAAAGTGTCTCAGGCACCCCAGGGGTCTTTGGACCACTTTGGAAACCACTAGTATAGAACAAGATCTTCTTCCTGGAAGGCATCAGAAATATTTGTTAAATGAATTAATAAGTTCCAAAGTGGTTATCAGATGGGGCCAGCTCTTGGTTGGATCCACAGGTCCAGACGTCTTTGTTTCCATGTCCTGTTCTCCAGGGGGTGAGTGCTGGCCTCAGTGCCCCTCTTCCATGACAGGTGTCCCTGTGAGCAGCAGAGTGTCCTCCAGAATCCAGCAGCTTCTCAACACCCTGAAGAGACCGAAGCGCCCTCCTCTGAGAGAGTTCTTCATGGATGATTTTGAGGAGTTGCTGGCAGGTGAGCGTTCTCTGCCGTCCCCCTCGAGGTGGCCTGGACAGGGTGGCTGTTGCATCTGGAGACAGGCAAGTCCGCGGGTCAGTGCTGTGGCATCGTCACACAGTAAAGTGGTGTTTTCTCTCCCTCTGGATGCTGTCACTGCTGTGAGGGTGAATTCCATGCCACAGGACCGCTGGCTGCATTTGAACAGGTGGAAAGTTTGTTCCTGGTCAAGAGACTCGGCATTTCTCTGTGCCTCTGGTCCAGTGGTTAGTGTACTTCGTAAAAAATGCTGCAAAGGTGTCATTTACTTAGAGTATTTAAATTTCTATTTAAACCTTAAGTCTCAGCAGCTTATCTTCCCATGGTTTTAGGGCAGTATATTTTTCAGCATAGTTTTGGCCCCTTTTCAGAATTTTAGCCTCTTACTTATGAATGAGATATTTATTAGAAAAAAGAATATAGATTTATTTTTTTAAAAGAATCACCAAGAAAAGAAAGAATTACAAACGTTTAGAAAAGGTACAGAAATAAAGCCCAGTGCAAGATACCAGCACGTGACCAGGTTGCGTTAGCCCAGGAGCACGTGGCTGGCCCACCCCAGCTCCGCCCACACTCCTGCCCGAGTCGCTGCCTACGGCCTGGCTCCAGTGTCACCCCAGTCCTGCAGGCTTAGATGTGGTTTTGAGGGCATTGTTTCCCCTTTGTGATCAGATAATGCCTTTCCAATTCAGAGTTCAGTGGAATGAATGCTCTTTCCGGCAGTCTTTCTTACACTTGGAAAATTTTGGTTACATTCCACTGAACTATAATAGATTTCACTTGATTTTTTTCTTTCAACACGGTGATGGTTATTTGAGTGCCCAGACAGACGCATGAGTCTGCTCAGCCTCATCCACTTGTGTCTGGCTGGCAGTGTCGCTGGGGTTGCCGTGAACCCCCTCAGAAACCTGGCCATCATCGCTGCTGTGCTGGTGGCTGTCCAGCGGGCTGCAGTCACCAGGGCTGGCATCTTCCAGAGTCTCCACCGGCCTCTGGTCGCTTGGTCTGTGACTGTCACCATGATAAAGAAATCTAAGGCAATTACTTAGCCTTTTATAGTTGGCGTTTTTTAAAAAGATCATGAAACATGAATGCTTAAAAACAATGTGCTCATGGTACTATGACATGATGATTCTTAAATTTCAATTTTGCCTGTAGTTCGGCAGACAGACCCAAATCGGCCAAAGCCTGAAGGAAGCCAGATGGTGGTGCTGAAAGGGGAGCCTCTGGCCGCCGAGGCCCCCCAGCCTCCGTCACTGCTGGCCGCCTTGCAGCGGTGGGGCACCACGCAGCCGAAAGCCCCCTGTGTGACTGCCCTGGACACCGCTGGGAAGGCCGTCCACGTCCTCACCTACGGCAAGTGTCTGGCTCTGGTTTAGCTGTGATGTATTGCATGTGTCATGCAGCACAGAATGCAGCCTGCTGAGCAGTATGGAACGAACCGTTCCTGGGAGACTAAGACCGCTGTGACGTAAGGACGCACTGCGTCGCTGCAGGTGACCTGCTGGGCCTCTGTCCCTTCCACCCACGAGAGGGCACTGCCCATGGACTGATGGTGACCCGCCCGCCACGTCGTGGGTTTCCAGTGTTTGCATCTATATCAGCATTTCTGAAAATGGCTTTTAGTTTTCTCTGCTTTTAACTTTGTGTTTGTGTTTTTTGTATTTGGCTTCCTTTGGTTCCACATTATTGTCGTCATGTACCGCACATCGTAAGCATAGAGCTCGAGGCGCGTTTGCAGGGTGAGAACACTCCCGGGACCAGCTCTCAAGCGGCACTGCCAAGGCCCCCGGGTCCCTGCCAGCCCTCACGCAGCCCCCCATGAGGTGGCTGCCGCGCCGACCGCCGCGTTAGAGGTGCGTGTTTCCAGGAAGAGCGTCCTCTGCTTGATTTTTCTCAGGTCCTTTGTGCGACTCCTCCGTGATGCATGAGGTTGCAGGGGGTTTGTTCGCATTGACCCACGTAGTTGGGCTGTGTGAAGGCGCCAGAACCCACTCACTCTGTGGGAGGCGGACCCCGGGCTGTTCCCACCTCAGGGCTGTTGTGTGCAGCGCGGTCGTGAGCATTCCTGCGGCCCGCAGTGAGCGGTCGCGGGTGGCAGCATGGTGTGGCCTCGAGGCCCACGGCCGTGCGCGGGTGTCTGCTACCTCCTCGCCGCAGCAGTCTGGGCTCGGCCCCGCTCTCTGCGCTCTCTCCAGCCCGCGCCTGTCTGTGTATTTCCTGCAGCCTTTCTTTCTCGGGGGTGTTACGCAGTCAGCTTATGCTGCCTTTTTGGCTAGTGGTGCTTTCCACGTGCTTATTGGCTGTTTACGTATCCTCTCTTTGGATCCTAATCTTTGGCTCACTTTTTTGTTTGGTTGCTAATGTTTTCTTACCTTTACGTGTTTCAGAAGCACGTTGTTTGTTAGATACGCGTCCTGCAAACGTCCTCTCCCACTCTCTGGACTGCCTTTGGCACTTCATAATCGTGGCTTCAGATAAATGAGAAGCCTTAACTCCATGTAGTCTAATTTACCTATTTTTTTACTTTATTATGGAGCCTTTTTTGCCGTTAAGGAAGTCTTTGCCACTTCTCCTAACTTTTCTCCTAAAAACTTGCTTGCTTTTCACATTGAGGTGTTATGACCCATCTGCTTTTCACTTTGGTGTCCAGTGTGAGATTGGCGGTGTTTTCCTGAGTAACATCACCAAGTGTGCCTGCTGTTGATCACTGCAGGGGTGGTACTTTGGGTCGCCCTGTCATGTATCAGACGGAAGACACTCTTGTCTGTTTCAGGGCTCCCTTCTGTCTCATCAGCCTGTTGTCTGCCCACACTCCCTGGGTCACTGTGATCTCATGGGCTTTGTTGTCCGGTGTGTAAGTCCTTCCGCTCTGTGATTGTTCGGTGAGATTTCCTTGACTGTTTTGGCGCTTTGCAGTTCCGGGTAACTTTAGGATCAACCTGTCAACTCCCAGAAAAATTCCTGCTGGGATGTTGATTGGCACTGCTTTGAATCGACCATTCCGTTGGAAGAGAACTATTATACAGTTATATGGACTCTTCTGATTCGTGACTGTGGCATATTTCCATTTCATTTATTTCTATTACTAATGTTTATACTTTTGGTTACAGAAATCTGGAGCATCTTTTATTAGATTCATTCCTATTGTGATGGAATGATTAAAAATCTTTTTTCTACTCACTTATTGCTTGTATATAGAAATGCAATAGATTTTTAAAATTCTGACTTTGTATCTAGTGATCTTGTTAACTTACCATTTCTTTTTTGTTTATTAATTGGTAGTTTGTCCATATATCTTTTGGATATCCTGTGTGCAAAATTGTATTATCTGTGAACAGTAATAGTGTTATTTTGGCCTTTCCAAAACTTAACCTTTTACTTATTTTTCCTGCCATGCTGCACAGCTAGAACCCCCAGTATAATATTAGACAGTGGGCATTTCGCCCTCTTTTTTTTGCATCTTAGGTGGAGAGCTTTTGGTATGAAGTATGATGTTTGCTGTAGTTTTTTGCTTCAAATTCCTGTCAGATTAAGGAAATTCCCTTCTATTCCTAGTTTGCTGTAAGTTTTTCATTGTGGATTGGCATTGAATTCTATTAAATGCTTTTTCTGCTCTGTCAAGGTGGTCATATGGTTTTTCCTCCTTCCCCATCAATTTGATGAATTACACTAATTAATTTTCAAATGTGAGCAATCCTTACACTCCTAGAATACATCACCTTGGCCGTGATATCTTAACTTATTCCTAAGTGTTTGGGCTTGACGTGCCAAGGCCTTGCTTAGGATCTGTGCATCTGTGTCTGTTAGAGAGACTGGTCTGTGATTCTTTAAAAAAGGAGCTCATTGCCCTCTTGTGAGGAGGGAGGTTTGCTGACAGCTTTACCTGCTGAATTCAACTTTCAGACCTAGGTCATGCTGTGCTTGGGTAGCCCCTGGCCAGAGCTGAGCAAGGTGGCCCGGCAGGGCCTTATGTTCGTCATGGGCTATCCTCAAGAATCAGCTGCAAACCGCCCCTCCGGGCATGCAGCGAGTTGGCCACAGCGATGTTGTGCTCTGACAGCATCTCCTGCCTTATCTCGCTGTTTCCCTTCAAAAGTTTTACTCCCAGGAATAGTTTTTGAGCCTGACTCTGACTCAGTTTCTGCTTCTTGAAGAAGCCAACCTGAGATGCACCTTCTCTCCTGTCGTATCCTGCTTGCATTATAAGTCTGTGCTCATTGTGGTTTTAATGTGCATTTCCCTGATAATTAGCGATGTGGAGAGTCTTTTCATGTGCCTGTTGGCCATCTGAATTTCTTCTTTGGAGAATTGTCTGTTCATATCCTCTGCCCATTTTTTAATAGGGTTATTTGCTTTCTGAGTGTTGAGGCGTGTGAGTTCCTTATGTATTTTGGATGTTAACCCCTTGTCAAGTATGTCCTTTAGAAATGCATTCTCCTATACTCTAGGATGACTTTTTGTTTTGCTGATGGTGTCCTTTGCTATACAGAAGCTTTTTAGCATGATGTAATCCCATTTGTTCATTTTTTGTTTTCCTTGCCCAAGGAGATGCATTCAGCAAAAAGTTGCTCATGTTTATATTCAAGAGATTTTTGCCTGTATTGTCTTCTAAGAGTTTTATGGTTTCATGACTTACATTCAGATCTTTGATCCATTTTGAGTTTACTTTTGTGTGTGGGGTTAGACAATGATCCAGTTTTATTCTCTTACATGTAGCTGTCCAGTTTTGCCAACACCAGCTGTTGAAGAGGCTGTCATTTCCCCATGGTATGCCCATGACTCCTTTATTGTATATTAATTGACCATATATGCTTGGGTTTATATCTGGGCTCTCTAGTCTGTTCCATTGGTCTATGGATCTGTTCTTGTGCCAGTACCAAATTTTCTTGATTACTATGGCTTTGTAGTAGAGCTTGAAGTTGGGGAGCATAATCCCCCCAGCTTTATTCTTCCTTCTCAGAATTGCTTTGGCTATTCGGGGTCTTTTGTGGTTCCATATGAATTTTAGAACTATTTGTTCCATTTCATTGAAGAAATGTTGTTGGTATTTTAATAGGGATTGCATTGAATCTGTAGGTTGCTTTAGGCAGGATGGCCATTTTGACAATATTAATTCTTCCTACCCAAGAGCATGGCATATTAGTGTCCTCTTTAATTACTCTTAAGAGTATTTTGTAGTTTTCAGGGTACAGGTCTTTCACTTCCTTGGTTAGGTTTATTCCTAGGCATTTTATTCTTTTTGATGCAGTTGTGAATGGAATTGTTTTTCTGATTTCTCTTTCTGCTAGTTCATCGTTAGTGTATAGGAATGCAACAGATTTCTGTATATTAATTTTGTGTCCTGCAACTTTGCTGAATTCAGATATTCTAGTAGTTTTGGAGTGGATTCCTTAGGGTTTTTTTGTGTACAATATCATGTCATCTGCAAATGAGGACAGTTTAACTTCTTCCTTACCAGTCTGGATGCCTTTCATTTCTTTGTGTTGTCTGAATGCCATGCCTAGAACATCCAGAACTATGTTGAATAAAAGTGGGGAGAGTGGGTATCCCTGTCTTATTCCCGATCTTAAGGGAAAAGCTTTCAGCTTCTTGCTGTTAAGTATGATGTTTTCAGTTGGTTTGTCATATATGACCTTTATTATGTTGAGGTACTTGCCCTCTATACCCATTTTGTTGAGAGTTTTTATCATGAATAGATGTTGAATTTTGTCAAATGCTTTTTCAGTATCTATGGAGATGATCATGTGGTTTTTGTTGTCCTTTTTGTTGATGTGGTATATGATGTTGATGGCTTTTCGAATATTGTGCCATCCTTAAATCCCTGGAATAAATCCTACTTGATCATGATGGATGATCTTTTTGATGTATTTTTGAATTCGGTTTGCTAATATTTTGTTGAGTATTTTTGCATCTATGTTCATCAGGGATATTGGTCTGTAATTTTTTTTGTGTGATGTGTTTGCCTAGTTTTGGTATTAGAGTGATTCTGGCCTCATTGAATGAGTTTGGAAGTATTCCCTTCTACTTTTTGGAAAACTTTAAGGAGGATGGGTATTAGGTCTTCACTAAATGTTTGATAAAATTTACGATGAAGCCATCTGGCAAAGGGGCTTTGTTCTTAGATAGTTTTTTTTATTACGAATTCAATTTCATTGCTGTTAATTGGTCTGTTTAGATTTTCTCTTTCTTTCTTGGTCAGCCTTGGGAGGTTGTATTTTTCTAGAAAGTTGTTCATTCTAGGTTATCCAGTTAGCATATAATTTTTCATAGTATTCTGATAATTCTTTGTATTTCTGTGGTGTCTGTAGTGATTTTTCCTTCTCATTTCTGATTCTGTTTATGTGTGTTAACTC